GGAGAGGCTGAGGATGACCTTGAACTTCTGACCTTCATTGCCATGGCTGGATTAACTCTATCTTACATTGATTTTCTTTCCCCATTCTGTAGGCAAACTTTACAAATCTTGTTTTTCTTTTTGGAAGGGTTACATTAGAAAACATTTAGTTTTTTTAGCTGACTAGTAATCAAGTGCCTGGAAAATTATTTGAACCCAGCCTTTTGGCTTAATTAGTTGTTTGGAAGAAAAAAATATCATTTGTATCATTGATAGACCTGGTGTTAGTTTCTGTTTCTTTGAAAGAATTCCCAAGAGAAATGGCTGAAAGGGAGAATGATATGTTGTGGCTTATGGGTTCACAGGCTTCAGGCCATGGTCACTTGGATCTATTGCTTTTATGGTAAGCAGAGAAGCAAGGTTGCAGGTGCATGTGGTGGAAAAGCATCTCAAGGTGGACGTGATGCAGAGTGCAAGGAAGGGTCCAGGGACAAGGCATCTCTTTCAAAGACATATTTCTGTGGCACACTGCCTTTAAAGGGCCCCACATCCTCACAGACCATTCAGCTCCCAACTCATCAGTGGGTTAATCCTTTGACAAAGTTAGCATCCACATGATCCAGTTACCTCTCAATTGTACCACCACCTGGGGATGACACTGCCAACGTATGAGCTTTTGGGGGAAGACCTCATACCCAAACCACAATAAGACCTTGATTTTCACCTTTTTACATTCTTTTCTTTGGGATTCCAGATTGGTTTCCTAATAACAGGAGTTCTTTATAATTAAGTCTGAAATTAATAGACATTATGTATGTGGCAACCAGAAAGCAATATTCAGATAGTAGTTATTCTATTGGTTATATTAAAACAAGTTTGCTCCATTAAGGAAAAGCCCATATTTTTATTTTCCCTGTATGAGAGAGAAAAAGTCATCATAATCCCTTTTCTAGTTTTCCATCAATCTTCCATCAGTCTGTGGAAAGGGTCTTCATCACACACTCAATGCTGCACGACTTTCACTTTTCAAAATTTAACAATGTTTTCCAAGTTAAATATCAAACAACAAATGAAATAGAAATGGTGAATGTATATTGCCCTCAAATCCCCCCTGAGATGCATCTCCAGTCTGATAGACAAGATATTCTTTTGGTGGACTGGTGCCCTAGGCAAGCAAAGACGCGGGCACATATCACATCTGTTCATTCTCCAAAGCCATTTTTTTTTTTTCAAAGCCATTTTTTTTTTAAAGCAAAAACGAGTTCACGTTTGAACAATACAGATTCTCAGCATATAACTCTACTCACCTAGATCAGGCTGTATGCTTTAATGGGGGAGGCGGAAAAATCTAGAGTGTCACAGTAACAGTGTGTGCCCCTCACCAAGGGGAGATAGGATGCGGGGAGAAGCAGTTTACCTAGTAGGATCACGATGCACAGAAGGATGGCCACCAGAGCCCCTGTGCTCAGTCCTGTGGGGTGGATGAGGGCCTCCGCGTGGCAGGACTGCATGTTCCCATGGTGGTCACATGCACAGACCCGGACAGTCACTGTCCCAGTGCTGCTTTGGACTGGGTAGTCGTTGTCTGAAATGACCACAGGCAGGAGATAGGTGCTCATCTCATGTCTATTATAGCCATTTTTCCGAGTTAAGATTCCTGCAGTGTTGTCTGGAACCAGAAAGCAAAGTGGTGAATGGGTGCGGCTACCACACCATGCACTGAATCAGTTGTGATGGAAATAGATATGGATAGAGATTTCGATCTGATATGTATTGAAAGGGAAGGTAATGAGTCCATTTACCTTTGTTGTCTTGAATGGTAAAGTTAGAGCCACTGGCTGCTTCAGGGGCCAAAGAGAAGGAGAATTGGTGTCCACTGTAAGGGTCGTCCTTGTCAACAGCATGGAGGGTCTGAATCAGCTAAAATAAAAACCATAAAGTTGTCATAAAGTATTTCTGATGGTTTTGCAGGAAATTGCTTAATTTTATAATTTGTAACTTAATTCAAAATAAAAGCTTTGAAAATTAAATCAGCCCCTTCTATTCAAAGAACTGATGGGTTAGAAAGCCATGGATTGAGCGATACTTTGTGGCTGTGGGCGTGCACTACTGTGTGCACTGAAGTGTTTGGCAGCAACCCTGATCCCACCCTACTATGTATCAGGAACATCCTCTTAGTCCTGACAATCCAGATTGTCTCTAGACATTGCCCAAATCCCTAGGGCAGAAAATCACCTGGGGCCGAGAAACACTGCTACAGAGTATGATTCACAGCTAGGAAATGTCACAGAGATCCTGAAAACATTACAACTTAATGGAATGGAAGCACTCTTTGTACAGCCTATTTAGAAACACAGTCTTTGCAGGCTCATAAAGTACCAACTTGCAAAAAACATATATAAAGAAAATTAGTGCTCAAAATACAGTAACTTCAACTTCCTACTTTCACGTGCACTTTCATAGCACACTTCTGTTTTGACAAGTACAGCATGATTTCTCTATCACTGGCAGCAAAGACCTGTTTCAGGTGGGTGACAAATGGGTAAATCAGTAAAGCATTCGTGAATTTGTGCTACTTTACAGATGGACAATGTAAGTAAGTGAAACTGTGAATTATAGGCAATTGTGTTGGATGTTCTAGATATTATTTTCAAGTACATGTGATAATAACTATGTGTCTACCAATAAAGATTCCATTCCAAGAACACTGTGACTAATCTATTTTCATGAAAACTTAAGACTTATTTGGAATCACCATCAGTCTTGGAGACTGATGAACTTTCAGTTCTTAAAAATTTGTTCTCTTATGCAAGTTAAATATCCATCTTGATTATTATTTGTGGTATTAATCTCCTTAGCATTTACTTCATAGATAATTCAAGACTAGCCCTTTGCTCTCTATATTATCTCAATTATTAGATCTAAATTAATCTGACTTCAATTTGAAGGTGCTTTCTTATAAAACATACCTGATCTGCTTTTGCTTTTTCACAGACAAAGGTTTCATAGAACTCAGCAAATTCTGGGGCATTGTCATTGACATCGAGAACTTTAATATATAGAGGCACTCTGCTGCTCTGCCTTGGATTATCTGCCACACACCAAAAAGAAAGAAACAGGCATTTATATGCTCGTCACCATTGCCCCTTCGACAGCAGCCACTCACAGCAGATTCCTTAAGAGTATCGAGAACCAACATGGTGAGAAGACTCAGTTAGCTTGGTCCTTCTGGGGTTGGACACATTTGTTGCAAATACCTACAGTTGTTGAGACAGTACATCTGCCTAGTAAACCGTAAGGTAACACAAAATATTTAGAAGTAGACTTTTGAGGAAGCAAAGGAAACGGATGGGGGAAAACCATGGACAAAGGGAAGAGCAAATGAAAGAGCTTGTTACTGGTCTGGCTGTTTCAGTTTGGCTGTTGAATGAGAGTCAGACGTCATGAGAAGAACTTTGTTATATTCACTTATTCAGTCCCTACAAACTTTGGAGGCAGATACAGTTAGTGCTCTTACATTATTAGCAAGGCACAGAGAAGTTAAGTAATTTGTGTATGCTCTCAGAGGTAGTAAGGAATGAAGCCTACATTCAAATTCAGGTCTGTTTGACTTCAAAGTCTAAGCTGTTAATCTAGGATGACGATGGGGCAGATGTGTGATAATGGAGGTAGTTTGGGTATCTTCTGTGGTAACCCCTGACGGGGATTGGAGAATAGACTTCCGGTGTAAGAGTTGGCATAAGAGCTCTTGCTTTATCTCTCTCATGCACTTAACTTACATATCTATTTGAATGTTGACTTAATAAAACTTCCATGGATGTCTGATATGTGCTGGTCATTATTTGGGGTGCTGGGACAGAAAAGGAGCATAATAAAGATCTTGCATTTTGGAGATTTGCTCTAATGTGGAAATAGACACTATCCACACAATCATACAATGCATCAGATAGGAAATACTGTGGTAAAACTAGAGAAAAAGGATGGAGAGAGACGAGGTGCTAACGCTGAGTAGAAGCCAGGGATAGCTTCTCTGAAACACTGTTTGCTCAGAATGATTGAAAAGAAGGATAAAGCCATGTGAATATTTCTGGATTTCCAGAAAAGGGAAACAATAAGTATGAAAGGCTTTGCAATAAAAGTGAGCTGGTTTTATACAAACTTTTAGTTCCTGAGATATCAAAGGTAGTTACCAAGTTTTGATGATAGTATTCTTAAGATCCCTTACCTATATTTTTCTTACACTATCCTCCCAAAATTAAAGTGGCTACATATCAATTTTGATATATCTTAATCACTCGTATTTTCAAATGTATAAGAGAAATGCTAAATCCTAAAAACAGAAAACTTAGGCATAAGCCTAAAATACTTATGACCACTTCAGTAAAAAATAAAATTTCATGATGCTTTGAAACACAGTCCTCCTCAGTGGAAAATCATTTTGTAATTATAAAACATTAAGAGTGTACTGTTACTGGTATCCACACCAGTCCCTTGGCATAAATTCTGAAAGGCAAATTCCTATCTAACAAATGTCTAATGAGGCATCTTTATCACTATCAGAAGCCAGGCCTTGTTTTGCTCACACTGGCTGTTTATTATTCTATCCACTATCCTTCAGCAACTTCAAATCTCATGAGTTATGTTGACAAAATGGAACTGTAATAAACCATTTGATATGGAATATTTCACACTAGATACCCAACTGAGATAAAAGTGTTTAGAACTTTTAAAATTAAAAACAGAAACTAAAAAGAGCTATAATTTAGAAGCCTATTTTAAACATCTAATATTTTAAAGATCGTTTTTCTTTTATGTTCTCTGGTTTACACATTGTGATTGTAGTTCACATTAATTTTCATTGAGTAAAATCATTAAATTTGAAACATTCTTTTGGCACTATTTTTCTTTGCCTGGAATTTCATGGGGAGTACCATAAAATTCATTCTAAACATTTTATTGATTACTTGGTGGTTTATATCGCTCAATTTGTTATACTACAGAAAAGTGATAATTTATAGCTCTTAATTCTACAAGGATTTTTAAAACAGAAATTCTATAGAAAGCTAGAGAATGAATCTCCAAGAGATGCTCACCAATGTCTACAATTTGAGGATATTTGATCCCTTATGCCCCCTTCTTTCTACGAGATGTCTGAGTGTCCATTTTTTTTTCAGTTGTTTCTATGATTGTCTAATTTATAAGCTTTGGGAAATCATATCCACTAATTGTCAATTAAATTTCACTTGAGATATTTTTTTAAAAAGTGTGTGCACGTCCACGTAGCGTGTTTGTAGACTCAAAATGTATGTCGGTGTTTTCTTCCATGGCTCTCAGTTTTATATATTGAGGCAGTGTCTCACTGACCTCTTTGGCTAGTCTATCCAGCCAACTTGTCCTGGGAAATTCTTTATCTTTGCTTTCTGAATGCTGGGATTATAGGTGACCACCACATGTATCCAGCTTTTGTGTAGATTTTAGGGACCTAAACTTGAGTCCTCAATCTTGTGTTTCCTGCTCAGCCACCTCCCCAGCCCCAAGAGATGCGATCTTACTGTTTCCAAACTGCAGAACTTCCACAATTTCTTTACTCAATGTGAACCAACCAACACATTTAGAAACATTATTGCAGATTTTCCCAGTGCTCTGTACTTCAGTGTGTATAGAACAGGGTCATCAAGTCCAGGTAAACAGTTTCAGCCATTCTTTCATAAACCCTCACTAGGACATTCATTCCTTCAATGGGGACTGCATTGGTACTGGGTTGGACTTACTAATCTCTGTTGCTATCACTGTGATGTTGTGCCACAGGAGTGTTTCTCGATCAAGAAGTTTTGATGTAAAAATTGAACCATTTCCAGAATCAATGTTGAATATTCTGTCCATATCTGTGTGTCGATCCACAGAATACCTGAAAATGCAGAGTAGAATTTAGAAAGACTTTCCTAATCATTCCTCTTTTCACATCATCAAACCTCTCCAAGATTATCTGTCATATTAATTTTTTCTACTTGTAGTGTATTTAAGTATCTACAACTGAACATTAAGCAAAACTAAATTTTGGTTTTTTTTTTTAAATTGTATATGTATAGTTTGCCTGCATATATCTAAGTGCACCACATGTGTGCAATGCCTGTGAAGGACAGAAGAGGGCATCAGATCCTCTAGAACCAGAGTTTCAGACAGTTGTTAGCTGCCATGTGGGTGCTGGAAACCAAACTCCAGTTCTCTGGAAGAACAGAAAGTGCTCTTAACCACTGATCCATCTTTTCAGTCCCACAAAATTATATCTTTACAGCTCAGATTTAATAGTAAACTCACCAGACGAACTGTGTGATTTAGAGTATCACTGCTAATTTCTTTTTAATATGTAATTTAGATCAAGTTTATATAGTAATCATGATATATATTTTTCATATGTATATGTGTGGTGTGTATGCACCTACGTATGCATGTTCACACTGTGTAGACATATCTGTGTGTACATGTGGGTGTGCACAAATGTGGAGGTTCAAGATTGATGTTGGATGTATTTGTTGATGCTGTCTACCTTATCCATTGAGACTGGGCCTCTCAGTCAAACCTAGAGCTCACTGATAAGACTAGTCTGGCTAGCCAGCTTGCCCCAGGGACCCTTGCCTCTGCTTTCCAAGTGCTGGAATTAAAAGCAGGTTGCCATGCCCACCTGTCCTTTACATGGCTTCTGCGGATCCAAACTCGTCTTCATGCTTGCACAGCAAGCACTGCCTCCCCAGCACAAATTGCTATATCTTTAAATAAAGTTTTCAGACCTTCAGAACTTTAATATATGTGTTTTCATGTACATATAGAGAACTGGTTACTTTTTTCTTATCATTTTATTTTGAAAATAATTCAGTTTTTTGAAGTAAAAGATGGATAGTGTGGGTGAGGCTGGTAAAGTAAGAGAGGGAGGAGGGAGATGGATTAGAGAGGGATGCAGGGTTCAAACTGCAGAAGGATGGGCTACAGGAAAGAGTTAGGGTCTAGTCCAAATGCCACGTAAATCTACCCATGGGCTCCACGCAGGGCAGCGTCACAATCTAAATCATGCTGAGCACAGATGGCAGTTGAACTGAGAAGGCTGAACAGTGCTGTCACAAGCCATTGGAAGAGATGTGAAAAGTTGGACTTGGGGAAGATTTGAGGCCCTGTGTTTGACATATAGAGGCTGAAGCATCCAAGGAACACCGGGTGGGTGGACATATCTAATTTGAAGGTCAAGACAAAGATCCAGGAAGATCACCTAGAGTTCTTGTTCAGCAAATCTGGAAGAGAATATTCATTAGAGGGAGGAAGCACTGAGGACTGTATCACTTAACCACCTACCCACTGGGAACAGAGAATCAACAAGAATGGATGTAGTGAAGGAGAGCTAGTAGAAACTCAGAGGGCTAAGCGGAAACTTAGCAACCATTGAGTCTTCAACCCTAAAACCACTGGAACTATCTATCAGTAAGTTTGGAGAAATATTATCTCATTTATAAATTTGTTACTAGCTTTACTACTTTCTAATTTCTTTAATTTTTACTAATTTTTAGGATAGCCATATAAAGTGAACAAGTATGTATGCATGTTATTGAATGAGGCACTAGTAAAGAGAAAATTCTGAAGAAAGTTCATATTTTGAGGCTTTTAGGAAAACTAATTTCCCATTTCAAATGGATTTTTTTTTGTCTTTTTGAGACAGGGTCTCCCTGTAGCCCCAGCTGTCCTGGAAGTCACTATATAGACCAGGCTGGCCTTGAACTCACAAAGATCCACCTGCCTCTGCCTCCTAAGTGCTGGAATTAAAGGCGTGCGCCACCACGCCCGGCTTCAAATGGATTTTTAAAACATATATCATGGAAGGAGGCTTAAAAACACTGACAGTACAAACAAAACTTAAGTAAATCACATGACTAGTCAGACATATTTGGAGTTATGAGTGTTCTAAGAAAAAATGTTACTAGCTTGTGGTAGTATACCATGTTCAAAATTCTATTTCAAGGAATTGTTTTTTATTTAAAATATAAGTAGCATGTTATAGCAAACAATCTCTTTTATCTTAATAAAATTTATTATTATCATTTAGCAGTTGTCTAAATGAAACAAGCATTCAGTTATTGAAAGCTGTTTAACACTTATTTCAAAGAGAATTGATGAAGGTCACAAAGGGCGTCTATGTAACTAGGTCTGAATTTTGGCTTCAATGTATTTAAATGAATGTATATTTTATTCTCAAAAGGGTTGAAACAGTTTAGAAAGCTATCTATCAGCTTTGTTATTTCTGTTATGAATCAATATTTGTGAAGAATTTAGGCAAGAGCATTGAACTTACTTGATCACTCTTTTTCAGTTTTGAGAATGATAAATATTTATAGTACACAGTTAATTATCAAAAAGGAAGTCTATATAGACAGTGAGAAATTTAATAATTATCTATGAATATGTTTTCCCTCCTGAAAAATGCCAAATTTAAGAAGTATGGCTTTGTGCTTTTATAAACTATTACACTTATATACAACAGTAATCTCTCTGTTCTTTGTCTCAGTACTGATATAGTTTTAAGACTTATAAGTAATCATGTTTTCCCACAACTTGAAACTAAGGAGAAGTAGTGAGGAAATTTTAGTTGAAGGTAGCTTTGCATTTTATAGTGAGAAGATTAACTATTTGGGAAATGCCAAAATTTATATTGTTTTCCCTAATTGGGAGATTAAAAATTAATGGAAATCCTAAAATGCCTATATTGTTTAGGATTTGCTTATAGACAAATCCATATTTTTTCCTTGTTGTCTTTTTTTTTCTTTTTTACAAAGTAATTTCAATTTATATCAGGGATATTCATTGTCTAGTAACATTAATTGTGATCATAGCTAATAGGAAAAAAGACAGCCCCTCATGGTTACAGCAGATCACTCCACTGGAGACTTCCTTTCCCTAAGCCTTCATTGTATTTTGTGGTGAAATGATTTGTCTTTTGCTGTATCCTCAAGTCAGGAAGATTTGGATGATGGGAGAGAAGGTGTGTTTTCAGGTACATTTAAAAAAAAGATTTACTTTTACTTGTGCTTGTGCATGTGTGTGCATGTGTGTGTGTGTGCGTGTGTGTATACATACATAAGCATGGGTTGCTATGGAGGCCAGAAGACAGCATTGGATCCCCTGGAGGTGGTTACAGGCTGTTGTGAGCCACCCAGTGTGGATCCTGGTCCTCTGAAAGAACAAGTACTTTTACCTGATGAACCATTTCTCCAGTCCCTGCATGTGGATTTTACATGATAGGTATCAATAGTGACACAAGATCTTCTTGTATGTATCAAAAGACATTGTGATAAAGTTATTAAAGAATTAAAGATGGGGTTGGAGAGATTGCTCAATGGTTAAGAGCACTGGATGCTCTTGCAGAGGACCTGGGTGACTGAATAATAAAATTCAATGTTTTGGGAAGGATTCTCTTAATTATTCACCTAACACACTGTTTCATTCACAGTTGTTTAATGTTTATGTCTAGACTCACCTGAAACTATATATAGATATTTTTTAAAATATAAGAATGCATTTTATCCTGTAAAGCAAATCACTGGAACATGCATTTACACACCAATGTAGTCTATGTACATTTCTAGCCTTAAGTCTTTATCTATGCATCAAATCCATATAGTAAGGGAAGGCTGGCAGCAAAATCTTTAGAATTAAGTAACAGCCAATCCAGTCTGACAAGCCAAGTACTTCCTTTCATGAAACATAAAATAATGCAGTGAGTAAAAATGGCATGTATTATAAAAAGTAACAAAGACATAGAAGTATTTAGCTTTAATTTCTAAAAGACGTTTCTCTTCAGATCAAAAACATGTTGATCTATCAGAGAGATAATTGAAGCTCATATTTGTAAACTTCTAGCCATTAACACTTTTAAATTGGACTTCACACTGACTTGCTAAGTTTTTCCCCTCTGTGCAGTTAGAACAAACTCCAAGGGAGAGAATAGTTGTGAAAGTACCTAAATTGCTTACAGTATGCAAGTGAAAGCCATTATTCACTTTCCTTATTAATCATGTTAAATTTAGATGGAATACTGTGTTCATGGAGCTCACACATGGCTACACTGGGTGGACCACAGCCCAATTCAGGGTATCTTATAGATATTTTAATTGATAGATTAAATATGCATCTATTTGCCCAGTGATTTAAAACTACTCTTAGAGAGTAGACTAGACAATTCTGTGCTTTAGATGTGAGGGCATCATGAGGTTTCACCAGAACTAAGGGAACTGGATGTTAGAAGACAGTGGCCTTAGAGCCACACATTCTTTTATCTGCAATAATATTCTTCATGTTATGGACAAAGTGAACCCTTTAAAGTATAGTTTTGGATTAGGTAGCTCTTCTGTTCAAAGCTTCCAAGTGGCTTCTCACCTCAATGAAATTTCAGTCTTTATCATGGACTACAAAGCTCAGTAGGATCTACTGTGTTCACCAAACTTCCCTGTTGCCTCCTGCCTGAACTCAGCCTCCTCCCTCTCCTTCCCTCTCTTCTTCCTCCCTTGCTTTCCTTCTCCTCTTCCCTGTATCCCCTCGTCCTTTCTCTTAGCCATGTAAAGCCTCTTTACACGGTCAGCCCTAGTACCAGACGTCACCCTTGTTTTTCCCCTCCTGCAGGTCTTCCCCCAGGTTTCTGCACGATTTGCTCCTTTGTCTCTTTCAAATCTTCACTGAAATAATTCCCTACTTAGAAAACCAAGCCTGGTCACACTTTCTGAAACAGTATCTCCATTCATTTTCTTTTTAGAACATTTTCACATAACATACGGCATATTTATCCTTTGTTTATTTCTGTCTGCTTTTTTGCTTGTTTGTTTGTTTTGTTTTTTGGTCTTTTTGAGACAGGGTAGCACCCTGTAGCACCAGCCAGCCTGGAACTCACTATGTAGACCAGGCTGGCCTTGAACTCACAGAGATCCTCCTGTCTCTGCGTCTCAAGTGCTGGGACTAAAGGCTTGTGCCACCACTCCTGGCTTGTTTATTTCTTCTTCTTCTTCTTTAAAAATATTGATGATTAAGATGTTGTATATGAAATACACAAAAATTCAATAGAAATAAATAAACTTAAGAAAAGTATACTGGGTCGTTTCGTTCCTCTGCCCAGTCCACACAGAAGTAACTCAACCTCAACCACAGTGTTATTTTACACTGAAGTCAGGGTCAAATGAAGAGACTCTTGGAGGTGTTCAAAGGTTATGGTGCCAGTTGTTGGGAGACTCAAGTTTTTTCAGATAGTTTGCTTAAATAATTTTCTTTTTTGAAGTAATTTTTAAAACTTTATTATTTTTATTTTATATGTACGCATGCATTGCCTGAATGTAGGTAAGTGCACCCGTGTCATGCAATGCCCGCCAAGGACAGAAGAGGCTGTTGGATCCTCTGGAACTGGAGTTATGGACAGTTGTTAGCTGACATGTGGGTACTGGGATTCGAACCTGGGTCTTCAGCAAAAACAGTGTTCTCAACCACTGAGCCATCTCTCCAGCCCTTCTTTATTTCTCTGTAAGATCCCTGCGTTTAGGACTCGGTATAGCTCTCCATTGCATTCCCTAGTGCATAGGATGTCCCTGGCCTGTGGCAGGTACCCTGATCAGATATATCTGTGGATTCCCTTGCAAGGCTCTACAGCTTTTATTTTTTCTGCTTACATTATTTATGGGCAGTAATTTATACAATGGTATTCAAATTTAGCACTTTTCTCATTTAGTCGACTGAGTTACTGGTCAAAGGTTTGAAGTTCGTTGACTTCAGGATTTGCATATGATTCTAGAATCCTGAAAGCATCAGTGGTCCCCCAAAGCAACGAGGCTTTCTTGCAACATAATTTATAACTAACATGTCAGCAACTACGGGAAGACAGAGCTTGTTTACATAGCATTAATTTGGATTCTACCCTATTAATTTCCCCAGGATTTCACAGACATATCATGAAATAGTTCTTGTTTTTATTTACATATACTAGAGAAAAATTATTCACCTAAATGGAGCATAATTCTGCCTTTAAGTGTTACATGATAGGTTTCTCTAGCACTTGAAAAGCAGGCTGTCAAGCTCAGTGACTGATTTGTTTCTATGTTCTACTCTTTGACAAATCATCTCAAACCTTAAAAAGAACCCCTGGCCATGCAACGCCTCATCCTCTATTACCTCACTTCAGCACTGAACTCTTGTGCAGCTCATTTTGTGTTTTTTCTCTCACATTTTATGTATTTGAGGTTTATGCTTTGCTAAAATAATATTTATGCATGGAGCAAGGAAAGTTAAAAGTGCTGTCTAGAACTTTTTTTTTTTTAAGGAAAACACAACTGTCTAATCCTAAGGCGCAGGCAGATATTTGAATATAAAAATCAACTGAATTATAAAAGAGACATCGTGGAATTGTGCTTACTTGATGGGATTCCTGGCCGCATCTGGATCTTGGGCTGTGACTGAGCCTATTGTTGTGTTTATCTGAGCATCCTCTCGAATTTGTAGTATGTAGGCCAGTTTGCTGAAGACAGGAGGCTCATCCACATCCTCCACCACAATTCTCACTGTGGCTGAATCCTTGAAGGGACCCAGGTAGAGAAACCGAGGTTCGATGTGGGGATTGGAAGCTTCCACCTTGAGAGTATACACTTTCTTCTTCTCAAAATCCAAGAGCTTTGGGAGGAAAGTGACACATTTAAAGAAGTCAGAACACAGAAAGTCAAGACAGAATCCATTTTAGTATAAATCTCTGATAAATGAATGCGATCATATTGCTTAGTGAAACCACTACATATTAGTGTGATGTTGGGTAGAGACAGCAAAGATAAGTGGTGATTAATTTTTTTCCATACTCTAGGCCATTAGGAGGGAAAATATTACATAGGCTGTGAAGAATAGCAGTGCAGATGGAAATGTGGGCCGAATGCCTGGTGCTGATGTAAAGTGGATGCTGAAGTGCTAGGCATCATACAGGGCAGGGAGTGAGCTGCACACAGAAATCTGGGCCAGCTTGTCTCCCTCCTTTAAAAAAACCCCTAGTATCTGACCAGAGGGGTTGCCAGGGGCAGGCTGGCAACATGCTGATCATTCTGCCAGGTGTTCTTACATCTGGCTTTAACAGTACCTGCTGAGTGTTTTAAACTTGCCAGTGCCTGGGGCCCCACTCTGGCCCATTAACCCAAAATATCTGGGTGGGGGCTGTCATCTATACTTTTACACCTTCAGGTGATTCGAAGGTGTAGCCAGAATTGAGAACCTCTGGTTAGCATCTTGATTCTCTCTTGTCCATTCAGATAAAATGGTTCTCTTTTGTATGAGTTAATAAAATCTTTCAATGATATCCTGGTAAGAGTTCTGGGCTAATTACTTGCCAAAGAAAGGAATGAGCCTGTTGTCAAAGACCTTAGGAACAGCATTCTGCTTTTGGAGACACAGTGAACCCAAATGCATATTGCTGACTTTTGGTTTGAGATGATATCATGACAGGGCTCACTAGAAACACTATTAATCATGGCATTGGTGAATGTGATTTAGTCAGTTAGGCAAAATTTCAGGTCCTGATAAGGCACCAAGAAAATTAAAAAGGTTAATGCGTACTAATGGGCCTCCTAATCATGTTAAAGTATAAAACATTGGTCTGAGTTTCACTTAAACATGTTTTATTTTATTTCCAGATATTAAGACATGTTTTTAAGAGGAAAATTTTTCTTGTTATTTATCTCCGCCTATGCTTACATCTACCAGCAATCTACAGTGGGGGGAGGAGGGGGAGAAGGTACTACTTTAAGCATGAAAGAAAGAGAAATTACTTAAAATTAAGCAACCTAGAAGAGTAACAAAGGAGTCACATGAAATTTCCCTCATTTCTGTGCATAGTCTCTACAGACCTTGTCTCTTCAGTTCAGGTCATCTCGATCCCTACAATAAGCTTTTCCTTCAAAGCAACTATCACATGTTATAGTCACAGTAATTCATTTGCTTATTTGCTTCCTTGTTGAGTCACTCCTGGCTTGAAATTCCAGGAGAGCAGGGACCATCTGCTGTGTGTGCCATGGCAACTCCACACCTACAACCATTTCTGACACTATTGTTTATATTGTCTATTATATGTATTTTATTTTTGAGATTGGGTATCCCTGTGACTCCAGCTGGCCTGGAACTTGTTACGTAGACCAGGCTGGTCTCAATCTCACAGAGATCTGCCTGCCTCTGCCACCCCAGTGCTGGGATTAAAGGCATGCACCACTATGTCTAGGTATTTCAGGCATTTCTATGCTTATCATTTGTTAATATTGTTTATGTAGGAAGTTCTTAATAAAATTTTATTGAAGATATGGATTAATGACCATATAAAATTATTTTTGACTCCTAAAAGTCAACTCAAAAGATCTCAGTGGGGGCTAGAGAGATAGCTCAGTGGTTAAGAACACTGGTTGTTCTTGCAGAAGACCGGGTTCAAATCTCAACACCCACATGGCAGCTAATAACTGTCTGTAATGCCAGTTCCAAGGAATCGGACAGTCTCTTCTATTCTCCGCAGGCATTGCACGACACAGGCGCACTTACCTATATGCAGGCAATACATGCATACACATAAAATAAAAATAAATAAAATATTAAATAAAGATCTCAGTGGAATTAAAATATTTTTAATGAGTAAAATAAGAACCTGAAGGAAAGTTTATGTGTGATGGTCATTTTCCTTGGTAACTTGGGGACCAGAGAAAAGTGTGTTCATTGTATGATATTAAGAAGTGACATCACCTTCTTTTTTCCCTTTTATCTAGTTTGTACCAGAATGGTGGATATCTATGTAACAGGCATGGATGAATAGTCTCATTTTTTTCCCCTGCTAGACAATAGTATTTGGGCTTGACTAAATATCCTCAGGAATTGTGTTTAGTTCCCACTCCCTTTGTCTGGTGTATGTGCGTGTATTCACGTTTGTGTGCAGGCGCATTCTCTTGACCATTCATGTGTGATGGGCAGAGGTTGACACGCTGTCTTTTTCTGTCTCTCTCTACCTTGTTTACTTATAAAAAGATTTTATACATTTATTTTTATGTGCATGAGTGTTTTCTTGCATATAGGTAAGTGCATCCAAGTTGTACAATGCCCACTGGGGTGAGAAGAGGGTGACAGATCCCCTGGAACTGAAGTTATGGATGGTTGTTAGCCACCATGTAGGTGCTGAGAACTGAACCTGGTTCTTCTGCAAGAGCAGCCAGTATTTTTAACCACTGAGCCATCTCTCCAGTCCCTTATTTATTTATTTTTGAGACAAGGTCTCTCACTGAACCTGGAGCTAACCATTTCCTTAGACTGGCTGGCCAGTGAGTCTCTAGGATCTGCCTTTCTCTGCTTCTGCCCCCAGCACCTGGGTTATTGACATGTGTCTCCATGCTTAGACTTGGGAGCTAGGGATCTGAATTCAGGTCCTCATGTTTGCATAGCAAGCACTTGACTGGCTGAGCCAGCTCTTCCGCCCCAGGAGTTGTAACAAATATCCATGTCAATGGCATTACCTTTTTGACAGTTATAATTCCTTCTTGGGTTTCCTGGTCAGTGATGACATCAAACATATCCTGCCCCTCACCGTCTGTGATACTGTACTCAATCTCTGCATTTTCTCCCACATCAGCATCACTGGCTTTGATCCTGCCAATAGGTGTACCCGGTGGAGAGGACTCGGGGGTCTTAAACTGGTATGTACCTATTAATCAGCAGAAAGACAAGTCAGACAGAGACTAGGGCATACGCCATCATAATAAGCAGTCCTCTCTTACTCACAGGGGGTGCATTCCAAGACCCCACATGTACTCCTCATGGTGACTATATTAAACCCTAAATACAGTGCACCATGGGTTTTTAAAAATGCAAACATATCTTTGATAAAGTTTACATTATAACCTAGAAACAATAAGAGACTAACAGAATACTAATAAAAGAGAACAAGTATAAAACACATGGTAATAAAGGTATTTGAAATTTATGAATTTCTTATTTCTGGAACATTTCATTAATAGTTTTAGACTATGGTTGACAAACGATAAGGGAAACCATAAAATAGCCCAACCATGGGATAAAGGGAGACTATTATAAAAACAAAACCTACTTTCTACTCATTCTTTAAGATAGGACTATGGATGGAGGCAGACTTATGCTTTCTTCAAAATAATTAATGGTTCCCTAATCTCCTTATGTCTTTACTGTTGATAATTAAGAATCTTTCTTCTCTTTTGTGGCCTGTCTCTGTGGAAATGGAGTGTGCTTTTCTTGTCCTGTAAATAGACTTCCAAGTTCATGGTGTCACTGTGAGAATGACCAAGTGCCAGAGGAGGGGGCGGGAAGCTTCTAAACCTCTGTTAATGTAATCTAGCAGAAAGAAGAGAGAAGAACTTAACCTGACTGTGACTTGAAACCAATTACTAGGTGTTCTTTAAACCAGTTCTTCTTGTCCTTGCTAATATGAGCTGAAGGTGGAGGCAAATTATAGCAATTTGGAGAAAATACGGAGGTAGTCACACTGTTACCCATAATCTGAGCTGGAGCTCACTGCAGAGTTGGGGGTATGGGTAAATACACTGAGCTGTAGCTCTTCATTCTTTCCTTTAGACTAACTCATCCTTAATTTCATTACAGCATTTTTTTCCCCTCTGTGTAGATTTTTAGCATACTTAAATTTTTATTACTAATTCCAAACTGTATTTTGTAGATGATACTTTTTTATGTCTTCATGTTAAAAAATGATTTTAAAGGCTACATGTGTTTCAGTTTAGATCTGACCATCTGACAGGTTAGCATGCACTTACACACACACACACACACACACACAAATTATCCTGGCATTGATGGTATAGTGGTGAGCATAGCTACCCTCTAATATTTATTCTACTCTCATTATATATCTATATATAGTTTTTTTCTATTTTAATTAATTTTTATTTTATTATGAGTGTTATGCCTGCATGTATGTAAGTGCACCCATATTGTGCAGTGCCTGTGCAGGTCAGAAGGTGTCAGGTCCCTTGAAACTGGATTTACAGATGGTTGTTAGCCACCAGGTAGGTGCTGGGATTCAAACCAGGTATCTGCAAGAGCAGCCAGTGGTCTTAACTGCTAAGCCATCTCTCCAGTCCCCTCTTTTTGTTTGTTTGTTTGTTTGGTCTTTTTGAGACAAGGTCTCCCTGTGGCCACAGCTGGCCTAGAACATACTATGTAGATCAAACTGGTGTCTATCTCACAGAGATCTTCCTGCCTATGCCTCCTGAGTGCTGGGATTATTATGCCTGGCTTCATGTGTTATAGTTTGCCAATAATTCAAACACAGGATTTTGACAAAAAAAAGACCTATATAGAAATATAGGTCTTGAATAATATGAATTCCCTGAGTATTGGGTCCTGGTTGATAAAATGACAAACTAGGTTAAGTATTTCTCTGGAGTGTTCAACTTCCATTTTCTGGAACTTTTGTCTTTTTGTATTCTCTCCTCTCTTCCTTTGTCTTATAGAAGGTAACAGGCAATGTGAGAGAAGAGCAAGAGTGAGTGACAAATCCCAGGGAGTGATGGGCACTCCCTGAGCTAGCTTCCCAGGGCAGCATGCTGATAAGTCCCATAGTTTCATTTTAGGCCTTTTCAGGGGAATCTTAGGGTTCATAAAACTTTTCTTCTACCTTTATCATATATTATTAGCTATTCTGTTTTTTATCTAGCTAACTGATTTAATACTTGGAAAAAAATTGAACTGTTCCCTATGGATCCATGTGAGCTTCCGTTCTAAAGGGAATCTGTGCTAGCTCACTGTCTTTTATAATGTCATTGTACAGAAGTCAGGTGAAGTGGAGAAGTAGGTTACAGTTGTGAGGGAAGAGACTCAGGTTAGAGCTACTATCCTTTAGATCTTAAAGTTATTTCTAAAATCTATTTATTTATTTATTTATTTATTTATTTATTTATTTATTTGTGAATGCCATGGTATGTGGAGGCCAGAAGAGGGTGTGGGATCCCCTAGAGCTGAGTTACAGGCAGTTGTGAGCTGTCTGATGTGGTTCTGGGAACTGACTTTGGGTCTCTGGAAAAGCAGCAAGAAGTGCTCTTAACCATTGAGCCATCTCTCTAGTCCCACCCCTCTTCTTCTTATTATTTTTTAAATAGTCTTACTATGTAGCCTAGGCTAGCATGGAATGCTCTATGTAGCTCAGGCCTGGCTCCTACCACAGTTGCCTAAGTACTGGATAACATGTGTGAGCTACCATATCCAGCTAAGTTTTCTATTTAATGATTCAGATAACTTATTCAGGGGAGCATAGTCAAAAAGTGAATTTCTTTTTTGGTAGAAAAATTGCATTATATCCAGGTCCTGATTATATGGCTCTGTGTGATAGAGTCCAAAATACTGCTTGGTATAAAGCCGTAGTCACGGATGTTGTTTTTTCTTCCTACCTGATCATGAGACTTAATGAGTTCTGAGATGTTTTCCAGTATCTCAATTAACCATAATGTAGAAAACTCTTTATGATTACAAATGGATTAAGCATATAGCAATTTCCACAGCTGTATTTTCAGAAGCAGGAAAATGATAAATCCTTTCCTTGCAAAGCTTTGTGAGCATTTAAAAGAGATTACATGCCTGATTAAGTTCACAAAACACAAAGTCAACTTTTTCCTAACAAATAGCAGCATGTCTATGTATGTATGTTCTGCACAAGCAAGTTTATGTCTCTGGTAGTCTTTTTAAAAAGGAAAAAAAAAGCAATGATGTTGCTTTAACAGCAGCCATATCAGAAATCGCCCAGCTAATTACCAATGGTGGAACACAAGTGTTCACACTTCCTGAGCATAAGTGTTGTTTTCAACTCATTTAAATAATTTTAATAAAAGTGCCAGTTCTTCCTAAGTCCGGTGATTTCGACAATAGTGACAATAGTGGAAAATATTCTGAAAGTTAGAATTTTCACAAAAGCACATTGGAGAAACTCATTCAATCAAATGTCCCTACTCTGGGGGAAACGGGGTGGATTGTCATTGACATCCGTCAGTGTGATATTCACGGTGGTGGTCCCCGACAGTCCTCCCATCTGGCCGCCCATGTCTTTGGCTTGAATCACCACTTGGTACCGCTCTCTGTTTTCCCGGTCCATGTTGAGCAGCGCTGTCTTGATGATACCTATGGATATGAAATTCAGGAGCAGAAAGGGAGGCATTAACAATACTTAATGAATCATTTATTTATGCAAACAAACATAGACTGTCACCCAAAATATACAAAGCACTGTACAGATGTCATGGTGATGTAAAGATGATTATAGACATACAGAGGAAATTTCAATCACACAGGGAGAGAGATACACATTAAACAGTAATACAAGGAGGATGAAGGGAAGTACAAGTCAAATCTAGAGCAGAATAGACCATGAGTAGCATAAATACTGTGATGAGATGATACTGCAAAATGTAACTGGCATGTGGCATAACGGTACATGCTGCGGTTGCTGCTGGATAAAAGGAATTGAGGTATACAAAGAACAGGCAGGAAAGAAGCCATTTCCCTGAGCTGGTGCCGTGTTTCACATTACTGAAGTGGCTAATTGCTCCTCAAGTCTTCCTGCCATAATGAATGTTCTGAGGGTTTTCTTAACCACAAAACTATGGTGCTGAGGAAATGGCCTCAATTCCCTCCCAATTATCATCTTGTACGATCCTTGAGAATTTAGCTTTTCTTATAGCATATGAGAACATTAGTCCAACGGATCCTAATAGTAACCAACACTTTAAAGTTAGTTTAGAGTTAGTTCTACTGCTAGGTAGTTAATTACTTGAAAAATTTTCTAAAAGTTTGCCTAATCTCTATAGAGTGTTTATGCTTAAATTCACTTTCTTTTAAAAATCACCGGAGAAGGCTTTGCAACCCTCTCCGGTCACACATTCCAGTGCTTAACCACTAACGAAGCTGAAAATATCTTCCTTTTAAGAAGAACTCCTCAGACAACAGGTCAATTTTATTCTCAGAATCTTGGCTTCAAGGAACAGCTGCTTTCTCTTGTCTAAATAATAGTACTTCTCTATTTCAATACAGGAAATCACGTTAGCCTTTTGTCCTGTAAGTTGAATAATTCTAATTTTTTCATTCTCATTGTTTTTCAAACCAACACTTTCTTTCTCCTTGGGATTCTTTCCAGGCTATTCACCTTTTAACACATGGATTTCCAATTTGATGTAGTAATGTAGAAAGGCTCTGGTTTAAAATTAAGGATGTTTGAAAAATTTATAAAGGGAACTTGACTCCTATTGTGAGGGCAAAATATGTGTAGAATTTACAATACAATGCTTTCTGCTAAAAAATAAATCATCACATAGCATGATACTTTTGGCAGGGACACTTTTTATACTGTGTCATAAAGACATACTCATACTGTAGAGAGGAATCAGCTCGTAAGTGTTATTACCAGTGTACACATACACTATGAATGGTTTTCTTGTTCTGAGTTAGCCCCCTCCTAGACCCAGTGCCCTCGATGGAGTACAAGGTTGATACCAACAAAAACTAACTTGATTCAACATTTCAAGAAGGGCCTGAAACACAACCATCCACAGAATGAGGGAGGAGTGTGAGGGATAACGAGAGAGGCACGGACATCACAAGTCTCAGAAGTGTAGCTGACCACCTGAGCAGAGGGCAGGACTCAACTCTAGCATGATTGGCTGCCTTTGTTATACCCCTTCTCTTCCCTATGATCTGCTGGTTGGAGATGAGATAAAAGACAAGATTTTTTAGGATGTTAATCTACTGTCTTCTCAGATGGCCAGCTAACTGAATAAAGTGTAGTTTAAACATTCAATTCCTGGCTCTTCTCATGGGCATCTGGAAGTGACAGGCAGCAAAGAGTCCAACATTCCAGTTAGTCTTTGTGGAGGGAAATACAGAAAAATAAGAATGTTGTAAAAAGGATTTCAAGAGGCAAGCTGATTTGTTTGAGTAGGGATGTACTAGACAGGATAGGCTAGCCCATGATGTCACAATAAACAATGCAGTCTTAGTGGTGTGACTCAACTACAGTCTAATTCTTGCTCAGGCTCTGAGCAGGCAAGCAGGAATCTCTGTTGATAGTTACACTTGGACATCCAGGCTGGACAGCCCATCTCAAGGGTTTCCACAAACACTGTGGTTGGGGAAGGGAATGTGGCAGATTGCGCACAACTCAATGTTCTGCTTGTTAGTACCTTATCTCACGGCCACTTTTTATTTGTACAATAGGCAACATGGTTCTTCCTAGTTTTAGAGCAGAACAGAGAGATGTAATACTATTAAGTAACTAGAAGAAATGGAACCAGAGTATCTGTGCTCAGCTGTAGTTGTTTAGTCAGGGCTGCTCTTTCAGCCTCACTCAATCTGGATGAATAAAGAATAACAGAAGGACTCTCTCCTATATACATGGTGGATGAAAGAGTCACTGTTAGATTTCTTTATTAAAATGATCTGGATGTCATGCTTACAAATAGATCATTAGAGTTTGGCAGAGGAACACAAGAAGAATCCAATCATGCTGATAGTTTTTATTAAAACAATGCTGGCTCAGCTGAGCATGTCAATTAAAATTACAGAACGTACAAGAGAAGATGAAAAAGTTTGCGAACCTGTTTCCGACTCGACTGAAAAGTAGGGCTGTCCCTGCAGGATACTATAGACCACTTTAGCGCTGTTCCCATATGTTGGGTCATCGGCATCAGTTGCAGTAACTTGGACGACGAATGTGCCTGTAATGACGGAAACATAAATTGAAAACAAATAAGGGTTCATTACGTTTCTCAATACACCTGCATATAAAGAAAGCATAATCTTTTAAAAAAGTTTTAAATGGATTTTCTTGCTTTATTCTGTTTCTTTGGTCAGTAAAAGCTGTCTTTTGTCCTATTTTTATAACTTTTAATTTTTTAAAAATAAATAATTTATTGAGAATTCCATACATGCAACTTTTAATATTTTTATAATTTCATACATGAGAACACAGTACCTGCATTATTTCCAACCCTCCCTCTCCCCATTCCAGTCCTCCTATGCCCCCCATATCCCTCTCTTAAACTAATGACCTCTTCTATAATTATTATTATATATAATAATTATATGTACACATTATATAATCTATTGACTATGATTAGTGTTAGCCATATGTACTTGGGTTTGGGCTGAACCACCTGGACTTAGGCAACTTATCAGAGGCAGTGTCCTTGAAGAATAAAGATTCTCCCTCTCTAAGTAACCATCCTATTAGTCTTCTATTATGGGGAGGCCTTGTGAATATTGCCCCATCCATGTTGGCATATTGACTGCTCTGGCTCTTGTGCAGGTCTTGTACCATATTGTTGAGAGTTCATGAGTTGAACATCTCTGCCATATGCAGAAAACACTGTCTCACAGCAATCACTCAGGTCTTCTGGCTCTTAAAATCTAAGAAAGCATAATTTAATTTAAAATTTTTAAATACATTTTTAAATTTATTTAGTAGTGTTTGTGTGTGTGTGTGTGTGTGTGTGTGTGTGTGTAATGCTCACAAATGCCACTGTGCAGCTGTAGAGATCAGAGGGCAACTTATGGGAGTTATTTCTCTCTCCATTCTATGGATCGTGGAAATTGAATTTAGATCATCAGGGTTTGGCTGCAGACATCTTTACCCACTGAGTCATTTTGCTGTCCCAGTCTTAATTACTTCTGGACTCGGCTTTCATGGCAAAGGATTGGAGAACTTTAGTACAATGCTAGGTTAGGAGGCTGTGGATCCTTCACTTGGAAAGGAAGGGATTAATTAAATATTATGGGGACTATGTTAAAGAGAAGCATGGGGAATGATCCTGATTTTGGATGAACTGACTCCTTCCCATCTCCAGTGGTGGGATCTGACTGGTCTCTTGCTGCAGTGATTCAACTTATCTAGTGATGCAACTTGCTTTACTCTGTCCACAGGAATTGGGTACTGTCCAAGAATAGGGCCACTTATGATTTTGCTAGAAATTATATGTCCTAGATGTTCTTTCTTTTGGATTGCAATGTGTGGGGTAAGCCACAAATACAGTATCTGTTGTGACCTTAGAAATGTCAGCCTGAGGACAAAGCTGAATAGGACAGAAAACTACCAAGAACCCAGACCCTAAATCAAATCTGTCCAAAGTTTACTTTACTTTAAGCAATGAGACCAGGAAATATTTTCATTGTTGAAATTAGTCTATGCTTGATTTCCTAAATATATGATAATTTCAAGAGATTGAAAGACTTTGACCCTTCAAAGAAATAGTTGAATCAGATAAAGAATTATTTGTGGCTAGAGATGTAGCTTGGTAAGTAGAATGCACGTAGGAAGTTCTGGGTTCAATCCCCAGCAATGCATAAGCCAGGCGAGGTGGTGCACACTTACAGTCTCAGCACTCAGAAGGTGGAGACAGGAGGATCAGGAGCTCAAAGTCATCCGAGGCTACAAAGTAAGTTTGAGGCCAGCCTGAGCTGGTTCCTTAAAAAGGAACCCCAAACCCCAAAGAATTAGTTGGAATACGATAGTATAAACATCTGATCATGTCATTCCAAATGATTATAATTAAATATACAAAGAAAGTTACCTCATGCTAGATTAGCATTCTTATTTGGTGACAATCCTTATCTACGAACTTTGGAAGTACTTTCACTGTCTCTGAAATACTATGTTAATTTCATGTGTGTGTTTGTATGTCTATTATCTATTATATTGATGAGAGTTTCCAAAGATTTTATTTAATTCTCAAAGGATTTTTTTCAAAAAAAAAAAGAGAAGATCCTCCCATTAAGGCCACTTGATGACTGGCTTTTGATAAGCCATATGAAATAAGTCCTATCAGATAAGACGTAGGCATACTACTAGAGTTGTCCTACACATGAAGAGGGCAGGGAGGTTCCATGTAAGGCGTATTATGATTTTAAAATTGCTTTTGTAATATCTAACCATTTTGTTTATTAAACAGAGTGCACGCTGCTAAGGTGGGACGCAGACTCTCAATGTAGAGCCCGGATGCATGAGACACAGTACTAGCCCTTGTAATTTAGCAAGGGAGAAGGACAGAAGGAGGCCTCCTGTGATTTTTAGAAGGAGAATTAATAGAAGTCAACAAACATCCAAGTTCTTATTTGCATTAATATAAATTCTGATTACCTTTGGAATATGATTATCTAGATGTTCTAAGTGCTTATTAGGTGCAGGTATTGCACAAGGGGCTCTGCATCTGTTTTTTATTTAATCCTCATTGTAACCCTTAGGAGCAGAATTTATTATTTACTGTTTGTAGATGCAGAATTGGATGATCAAAGAAATCAGGATCAGAGAAATCAAGTAATTTGCCCAAGGCTACACTGCTGGCTATTAGTGGAGAGTGTTTTGAATTTAGGTGTGTTTGATACTGAAGTGCATTTACCTCTTTGCTGTTGTTCCATTCCTTTATATAATTTTCAAGATGCAGTTACTGAACCCAATAATGTTGATGTGTAATAATAATGTATAATATCAGCATTACCCTGGGTGCCTGTATGCAAATTCTCTGGATATGTTAGGACTAGCTTTCCCCAAATATTTGTAATGCATATTTAAATTTTTAGTGGCTTCAAAAGTGAGTGGTGCTCCCTGCAGCAGTACAGAGGCAAGGCGGAAACTTCAAATCTCCTTAACAATTGTTTTGGGTGGTTCAGACAATAACAATAACTATCTTTCCTTAATTCTTTCTCCTTTTAGCACCTATGGGAAAATCTTCCTTTAAAGATAATTCCAAGCCCCTTTTTCGCTTTGATGATGGCTTTTGATTTTTCTAACAAAACAAGTGATTGAGATAATTTCTTCATGAAAAATATTTTGGTGTTTTACGATCATTTCCACGGACTCGGTAATTTCCAAATTTTGGATTTGCGAGCTCGTATTGGTCTCATATCTAACTGATGGAATTATAGACGTGATTTTGTAGTTTTCAGCCATTTTGAAGTTGGAAGAGTGAAAATAAAAAAATATCCCTTGGCTTTAGTGGTTTAGGACACATCACTATCTCCCATGAAGGACTTTAATGCTTCTCAGTGTGATATCAGTTGAACTTTCCCCTTAATTTAAATCCTGTTTATCTTCTTCCAGTCTAGGCAAATTAAACCCACACAAATTAAACTGAAAATTGGTAGTAAACTTGTATGTAAAATATTAATTCACCATATTAAATCTCACAGAAGTCTCAATTGTTTGCATATTGTTTGTGAATTAAAAAAAAATTCTTGCAATCTTTTCCCTAATTTACAGTCACTTCAAGTAACCATCAATATCTTTAATTTTTTGCTTATTAAAAAAGACCATTATTACTCTGTGTGTGGGCAAGGTCATAGTATGGAGGAAGGTCAGTGGACAACTTCATGGAGCTGGTTCTCTCCTTCCACTTTTACACAGGTCTGGGGACCAACTCAGGTGGTCAGGCTTTACCTGAGGAGTCACCTCAATGGCCCTGTTGGTATTTCTGAATTTTTATTTTCCACCAGAGAGGCTCCCCCTTCTTCCCCTCCCTCAGCCTAATTATGATGTGAGCTTACAGCGATAGAGAAGGTTGCTGTCTTTTGGCCTGAGGAATAGTGGGAGAGAAAGAAGAGACGGTCTCCCCTCTGCCTCCTACCCTCACCCTGTTGCTTTCATAACCTTATTTCTGGTTTCTCAAGTAGTCATAAGGTGAGACGAGGATAGTACTAGGCAACAGGGTTGCACTTAAGAAAAGGACATGTCTGGATTGTGTAGAGACATGATAGTTTTGGAATTTGGCATTTAAAGGCTTTCAGCTCAGTAAATTTGGCTCGGGGTTCTTCACTTGGTGGAAGCACTGGTAGAGCTGGGTGTGCAGAACTCACCGACATCGGCCATCTCTGGCACGGTGGCTGTGTAAATCTCCTCAGTGAATATAGGCTCATTGTCATTGATATCGTGGATCTTGATGATGAATTCAGACTCGGGCTCCACAGGTCTTCCTGTCCTTCTGTTGATAGCCTGAGCTCGAAGGATGTAAACGGGTTTTTCTTCCCTGTCCAGCCTCTTGGTGGCCTGTATGTCGCCTGTGTTTTCATTGATAATGAAGAGATCTCCTGCTCCATCTCCTGAAAGGATATATTTAAGTGATCCATCTCCTCTATCCTGGTCTGAATGTAACTAGTGCAAGGAAAAAAAAAATTAAAGAAAGTAAAAGTCAAGCATGTGATTCCAAACTGGTTTTGTTTTTATCACACAGGCTTCGTTAACATTAATGAAGAGATCTCCTGCTCCATCTCCTGAAAGGATATATTTAAGTGATCCATCTCCTCTATCCTGGTCTGAATGTAACTAGTGCAAGGAAAAAAAAATTAAAGAAAGTAAAAGTCAAGCATGTGATTCCAAACTGGTTTTGTTTTTATCACACAGGCTTCGTTAACATTCATTCAGTTTCTTCTAAGGGAAGTTACTGTTTTTGTTGTTTTACTACTTACATAATCCTTCAGTAGTAAATATCATTCATTAATGAACATATTCCTTTGTAGTCACAGAATTTTCCAGAATGAAATAGAAAATTTAGTAATGCTTCTTATTTTGAAGAAGGGAAAGCTAAAAGCAATTTTAAATACCTAAGAACACCCAAGTTTGACTGAATGAATCTTTTCACCTCTCCCTCTCCTCATGGCACACACATACTACTCTCCAACTGCTATACTGTTAAAAAGGGCTTTGGTGTTTGCATCAGAGAGATCTGAGTATATTCTGCCTTCTGGTGAACTTGGGGAAGCTAGACACTCACCTTGGGTGATGGAGATTATAGTCCCTTTTCTGGGAAGATGTGATATTTATTTTTAAAACTCAATTTAAAGCATTGGAGAGACATCTTCAGTGCTACCATGAAACCACTTCTCTAGATAGTTTGGGAGAACGGCATCTAGCATTTGGATTTTAGTAGGACATAGGAAAGGGCCTTCTAATATGTAGAGTCAGCCTGAAGTTGAGATTGTCTGCCTTATGAGGAAGTGAAAGATGTTCCCATTCCCTCTTGAAAGTAATCAGCAGAGAAGGTGAGTATTTACTGTCAGTGGATGCACCAGAGTAATGGGGGGGGGGCGGGTATTAGATGATTGTTTGGATGTTGTAGAAGTGGAAGCTGATGATCCTAACTTGGAAAAGCTGATGAACCCAACTTGGAGTTGGGTTCCTAAATTATTTATTCCCTACCCAGAAAATGTTCCAACCACTGAACTCTGTTCATAAATTTTCAGAAAGCGTTTTCCGTTGAGGAGGACTACTTGAAAGCCCCAGTCCCAGGCATCAGTGGTTACGAACACAGGTGACATCAACAGTAACGACTACAGGTAAACATTGTGTGCTTTGGATTAACACCACATGGAATGCTCCAAGTAGTGTCCACAAACACCTGAAAATGGACTCTTACAGCCAAAAGGAACTTAGAAAACTATCTAACCAGCCTTTCTGAAAGTGTGTGCCACAGAATATATACTAGACAACATTCAGAGGGTCCAATAAATTTGCAAAAATACTTTCTTAATCTGCCACTAACATATGAAAAGGCTATGGGGGTGGGGGGTAGGGGGGCACAATTTCAGACTCTATGTGACTTTTTTAGTGTGGCTATCTGGAACTATACTGTTTAATGCACCCCCTTCAGGGGAATATGCCCCTTGACTGCTTTCTGAGAAAGATTCTTTTGTGATCCTGAGGTCCTGTAATCCATCATTGTAGAAACAAGAAACCCAAGGTTCCAATTTATGTAGTTTCAAAATCACACCCAGCTCAGGTGAGTTGGAAGATTAGAATGTGAGGGCAGGAAGGTGCCCTGTAGAGTATTTGGTGCAATGTCCCCATTTTTGGAGCTGAGAGATTGTGTTCAGTGCCACTCAGCTACAGCTAGTTAATCGCTGAGTTCGAGAATGAGAATATTATTCATACAATTAGTAGCTTTGAAAGCAATTTGGCAGAAATAATGGAAGATAAATGTGAACAGTGAGGAAATTGCTTAAAGTGAGACAAATTCAGTCAGAAATGTAAAGCAAGAGCACTCCGTGATTTGTGTGATGTGATAGGCGAAGGAAGTGCTGAAACCATGATGACACAGAAAGAGTCACCGGGGAAAATTTAACTCTCCATTGTCAGATTCTGATGACTGAAGAACGCTCTTAAAAAGCCATTTCATTAACTCAGGAGTAAAGCAAGCACTGCAGCCGCCCTTCGGATGGGATGCTGGCTCCCAGGCAGCCGTTGTCAGCAGCAGGGCGCAGTGCTGGGTACCCAGAGAAGCCCTAAGTACAGGTCATGTTCACACTCAGTTCCTCACCAGGTGTAAGACCACAGCAGAGCCAATTAACCTCCAGTGCCAGGGCCCTCATCAGTAAAACACAGATAATAAGAGTGGCAGGATGAGATGCTGTGAAGACCTAATTAGAGACCATATACCAATACCTCATTAATTGTCACATAAACATGCAATAAAAGCACGATATGTGTTTTATGAATTATAAAGCACCGTCCAAATTAAAGATATCGCTCCTCTCATTAGCTCTGAGTTCATAATCAGCATGTTTTTGCTCTCCTTCTGACTTTGAGAGGATTCAGAAAATCTAATTTGTAAACACCCCCTATCTCTGAGGTAAAATCTGTTTTCAAAAGCCAGTATTCTTCTACCTGGTGGCAAGTGTTGTCTCCACATATGATTTATTATATTCTGCATTCCACTAGATTATAGACTCTCCTTGACCGCCACTTTCATCGTTTTCAATGTGTAATTGTCGCACAGTAGGTGAACACCACATCTGGTCACAAGATTTATTCAGGTAAAAGTAATCAGAAACTTATTTTTAGCTGTCAGAAGAGACCATTTCAATGACTTATAGAACAAACACCTCAGACGATCTAAAGACACAGAGGAGATGCCAAAAAAACCAGCGAGCAGGGACTGTGGTGCAGATCACAGTTATAATTTATCAATATTTGAAAATTTGTGGGAAAATGCATCTCTTTACTGAGGCATGGTCTGATAATTAAACAGTATAACCTCCCTCCTCTCACCCCCAGCATGAACTATCTGAGTCTGACGGGGCCAAATGCAGCAGCAGTAACCCCCAACGCCTCTGTCCCCACGCTCCTCCCCTCCCGTGAACTCCCTGGGGCCAGCTCTTTTCTCTGGGAAAGAGAGGAAATGGAAGACTCCAGTGCCTCTGAAAACACAGGCAACAAGCAGACATTAGAGGCTTACGGAGCACTTAGATTTTAATTGGATTTTTTTCTTTTGTGATGTCATTCATCACGGCCACTGTAAAAGACAGAAGTTAAGCAACAAATAAAAGGTTGCAGGCTGCCCCAGGCATGTTTTTGCTAATTTCAATTTAATGTGGCTGTTCTATTAAGTTTAATCATCTGGTTCACTTTTAACGATTCACCATCACGTAAAAATTAGCCACTTTGCTCTGAGACTCGCACCTCACCTGTGGCAGCCAGGCGTACTGTATCTGTGGCATTCTCAGCCAGAAGGTGCCCTGGCTCTCTGTTTCTCTGTTCACTTTTGTTTTTCTAAAACAAATACAGTGTCTTGAAAAATAAATACGGGGATTTGTGTTTGTTGCATGGCCCCATGGAGGGTGTCAGGAGCAGTGGCAGAGTCTTTGCCTGAGGGGCTGTCCCTGGGAACACAACATCCTTTTATCTGCCACATGTACCAGCTCACAAGTTAATTTTGAACCAAATTCAAAGGCATAACACTAATTGTATAGGTTTTTAGTAGTCTGTGAAGCCAGCTGATGCTGTTATATGACTCCTGTTCCTGTGTGTCATTAAGCCACTATCTGAGTCATTGAGAAGGTCACTGAAACGTCTACGCACACACAGGTTCCAAGTCACAGCTTACCTAGAAGGGCTCACATAGGTGCCTACAGCAGTCAGAGGGAGCTTAGAGAAGGCACTATGTGATGTTTGCCTAAAACAAAACATCGAATTATGGTTACTTTGTTAATAGAAAGTAGGACGAATTTAGGGTGGTTCTTAAAGGAATGGTTGCTCATCTGAGGCATTCTAGGACAATCAGAGAACAAATATGGCAAACAGATGTGTCTGACTGGGACAGTGGAAAGCCAACAGCTCATGTGTAGAGAGAGAACATGACCTTTTTGAATACTATTTTATACTTGATCTTAGCCAAAAGGCGGAAAAGTGATGAATATTATTTTAAATTAGGAAATATGCCTACAATCATTATGCTAACTTGAGTTAATTAAATTTAATATACCTACAGATGTTTATAAATATTTGTTATCTCTTTTTATATAATGCACCTATACATAATGTAAATTAATCCATTTAAATGGTAAGAGCTTAGGATACCTTGATGGGGAAAGTTTATATCAGAAAGGAACTGAACCCTGATTGAAGTGCATGGCAAGTCTTAAAAACTGATTCAGCTTTAATGATTATAGGATTTGGTAAATAAAAATATGTTAAAAATTTTATATTATTTATTTTACTGTGTGAATGTTAATGATTTAGCATGAGTTAGCTAATTTACATCTGGCAATTATTTTACAAATGATAAAGTTGAACATAGCATTATTGTGACAGGGTGTTATATTGTGTTAACTATATAATAAACTACCTGAAATAATAAGCTTATAAAGAGGAAAGGTTTATTTTGACTCCTGGATTTAGAGGATTTAGTCTAGATGAGTTTGGTCTTATAGCTTTGAATCTGTGGCAAGTAGGCAGGGAAAGCTGCTCACCTCCTGCCTGCCAGGAAGCAGAGGACAAGGGGAAGGAGCTGTTGTTACACATCTGTTTCAAAGGCTTGCTCTCAATAATCTAACTTCTTCAGATTACACCCCATTTCAAATAGGCCTTCTCCACCTCCCAGGAGTACAACAGGCTGGTGACCAAGTCTTTAACTCAGAAGTATCATGTCTTTTGATTATGATATGATGTCATCTACAAACACATTGGGTCCATTCACAGCTATCCTAGGTTGCATGTGGCTTTCAGGATGCGAGACAGGCATGCCTGCTTTAATACCCGGGCCTTTGGGAAATAACTGAGGTCCAAACCACAGCACCTAGGTTGAAGCCTAAGGGCTGACGAGGACAGAGGCCGAGAGGAAGGAAGAACACAAAGGGTATGACCCTGTGTTTCAGAGT